GCAGTTCTACTTTGCCCGAAAACGTAGTCTTCGACGAGAAGCATGGGACTTTTACGTGGGCATCAACCTTTTTCCGAAAGACAATTGATGTTGTTGAAGGGTATTTGACCTTAAATAAGCCTGAATACACCTAATTCATGTGCTTTTTAAGGCAATTGTGTTCTTTTTATAACATCTATACCTGCCATCTTCCGATATTTATCCAGCACTATTTGTTATAAAATTCCTAAACCAAGCACATTGTCCTAAATGGTCTAAATTCCGAATTACATGATAAAACTACTGTTTCCATCTTCATTGTCAGAGCCAAGTTCGGTGTCGCTTCCAGGCAAATCACGAGGAAAAGTATTCTCCGAAGCTAAAACCATACTCAACCTCACCTTTCTCTTTGACCTGTACGCCTTCCCAGCGGCTCTCTTCGTCTTGATGATCTTTGCGCCGATTTCGTTGAGTCGATTGATGTACTGGGCATTGGCATCACCATCTTCTGCACGCAAGGGATGGAGACGGACATCGACGTTGGTCAGGGCCAAACACGCTTGGAACACGATGTCGTAGCTCTTGCGGCTCCAATGGTACGTATCGCGCTACATGTGGCCCAGAGTGTCTTCAACCGACCAAGTAGTTCTCAACGATGACGTGATCGCTGGCAATATGTACGGTCATACACTATTTCGGGTCAAAACAAATGTGGAACTACTACGTAGTATTTTACAATGACATGAATTGGTTTGTCAACCAGGAGTCCATCAGTTCCTGATACTCTTGTGTGTATATGTGCGTCTATATATGGGTATAAGATGGATTTAGTCAGTAAAGAGCGTATTTCCTGAGTCTGCTCCCCCTGACGAATTATTGGAAAAACTGGTTTTGACGCTTACTGATGGTTTTAACGTTAGCATCACCCGCCTCTATCTGCCAGAATCGACTTCGAACGAGTAACTTGTACTCATCTTTGTAGCCCAAAAAGAGGACATTGCACGCACAGCTGGACATCATCACACCCACTTGGCGCCAGCGTCTTGCAGAACGACAGCTGATTGATCACGGACACAAACAGCGGCCAAAAGATGTAAACCTGCTCCTCCACCCCCAGGGACCACAGGTGCAGCAGCGGATTCTCCTTGACTCTGGCGTCAAAATAGCCCTGTTGGACGGTCAGCAGCTGGATGTTGGCCCCAAAGGGCGTCCCGGCCACGAGGGTGAAGGTCAATCGCATCCTTCATCGCTCGAACAATTGAAGCACCGCTTGATTCGAATCTGGGATAATATTCCAGTTCCTTTCATCCAGGGACTCATTGATTCAATGCCTAAGCGGCTCAGTATGGTCATTGCTAACAAAGGTGACGCTACGAAGTTACTACAATAGAAAGTCATTTAATG